TATATAAAGGATTCTTTGTATTTACTTGCAATATTGTTATATATGTCTATATGTTCACTTTAATTCATTATTAATTTAGAAGGTTTATTAATTTATTTTTATGTGAAAAAATTGTTTAAAATACTGTTAAATGTTTTTATTAAATTCCTGAGCTGGACAATTCTGGCAGAATCTTTTCTTGGTTAACACGTTTAAACAGATAATACGATATATTCATACACACCAGCTTGCTTATATTTCATGTCGGATAATTAGTTAAGAAAGCCCGAGACACGTATATTATTATACGTTATTAAAAATCGCGAGGTACAGTGGTATTATATAATTTGTATTTTGTATAATATATTGTATATAATTATATATTTGTTGTTTACAAAAAAAATAATCAAACGTGTTAAGTGATGCAGTTGCCGTCGTGAACTTGTTGGGTCAAAATTGAACTTGTTCTCCACAGCAACCAGACGTCATTTCTCCTTATTTCCGTTCATTATTCCGTCAGAGTAACATTAAGCGTGAGGTTACGTCGCCACGTACATTAGCTAATGTCATAAAATGGAATCTTGTAATAAAAAAAGATGTTTTTTGTCACAGAAACTTTTAACAGCGAGTTTAATCGTGGAAGCAGTCATCCTTGGCCTTACATAAAAGACTATTTTCGATTTGTTGGAAGTGAAAGTGGATCCCAATCCCAAAGTGTTCTGTTACAGAGTAGGTTGTGTTTGCCCCAAAAGAATATTTACAGTGCTAATGAGAAATCTCTTTTCCATCTAAAGAAACGAACATTCCCATAAACTCAAAGATTTTGAATCGTACATCAAGAGAGGAACGAAAGTAAAGAGACCAAGACAACGGTCAGTTGAAGCAGCAGAGACAAGGGGTCATAGTTATAGTACGAGAACAATTGTGAACAACGGTCAGTTGAAGCAGCAGAGACAAGGGGTCATAGTTATAGTACGAGAACAATTGTGAACAACGGTCAGTTGAAGCAGCAGAGACAAGGGGTCATAGTTATAGTACGAGAACAATTGTGGAAAAGTGAAGCCAAACAACCAACTCTTGGAGCCTTCATTGCTATTAATGTTGAGTGTTGGTCTTTGAAATTTGTTGAATCTCAAGCTTTGAAAAAATCTTATTCAGACATTACAGCCAAATATAACAGTTTTCGGTGGGAAACCCCTAAAATACATAATTAACGAAAATTTGCCCAGAAAAAAAAAAGATGAATTTAAAAGATATAGAATCAAACTTGTTCTGTTCCTCAGCTTTTAAATCTCCCTTCACTAACTTCGGCAAATCTATGGGTTGTTACGAAAAATTCACTATTTATTTTTACTGTTACAGTAGAAACTAAATGGACGACGTTCTATACTTCATTGAAATAACATAAAAAGTGTTTGATTTAATCAGGTTCAAACGCATTAAAGAAAATGCATTTAGGTGCAATTTATATTTGTTTATTTATAGAAAGAAGATTACAAAAATACGTTGTTTTTTCCATTAGCACCATTTTTACAGTTACTCCCGACTAAGTTAAGAACTTATCTTAAGAAAATATGTCAGAGATTCCATTTTCTTCTCTAACGCTTAGAATGAGAAACTAAATGAGTGAAAAATAATAATAATAAATTTCGCAAATGCCTTTCTTTCAGCGCCACAGATGTTCACTCGTTTCACTCTCACACAACTTACTACGCGTACGTAAGTTTAATAATAGATAGCAAAACTTGTATATCGAAATAAAATACGAAAAATCGGCGAGACATAAGATTCACTTTAATTTTAGTTTCATCTAACTCTAAAAAAAAAATCGAATTATAAATAATTTAGGTGTTGTCGTCACTTAACGATTAAACCACTTACTAAATGAACTTTCAATATTTGGAATTATTATCGTACTCTATAGACAATATGTACAATATAAAATATTCGGGAATATTTTTTTCAGTAGGATTATGTAATAAATAATTTAGGTGTTGTCGTCACTTAACATTAAACCACTTACTAAATGAACTTTCAATATTTGGAATTATTATCGTACTCTATAGACAATATGTACAATATAAAATATTCGGGAATATTTTTTTCAGTAGGATTATGTAATTTCTCCCCCTCCCCCCTCCATTTCGACCTTAATTCCAACTAGTTTGGGGTCGGCAGTAGAGATTTATGTAAGCCAAGAAATTTTACGCTATGTGTGGCTGACCCAAACAGCAACCATAAAGAGTGAGCGTGTTCGGGGACGGAGATTCGAACTCGCGACCATCAGATTACGAGGCGAGGGCCCTAATCACCAGGCCATGCCAGGCCTATTATTTAATTAGTGCTTCGAAACACTTTAATAAGGCGGCTATTATTCGACTTTGATTTGTGTTTGTTTGTTTTGTTTTTGAATTTCGCGCAAAGCTACACGAGGGCTATCTGCGCTAGCTGTCCCTAATTTAGCAGTGTAAGACTAAAGGAAAGGGGCAGCTAGTCATCACCACCCACCGCCAACTCTTGGGCTACTCTTTTACCAACGAATAGTGGGATTGACCGTTACATTATAACGCTCCCACGGCTGAAAGGGCGAGCATGTTTGATTTGTGATGAACGAGTTCTGTATGCAACATAATTCCTACATAGTTACCATATAACTGGTGATAGTTAATCTCAAGTGTACATTTACGTGGGATATTTCTAGTTCAGGGTAACAGTAGCATAGGAGCAAATCACCATCAAAGATAACAGGAGGTTCGCCAGGATTTGATCGGTATGCGAGTGAATAGTTGGGTAATGGACGCAGAAAAACGGGTGTAATAACTCTCAGATGCTGAAATTCACAAACAAATTAAACTAAACTAACTTATTGTGCAACTTAAAAACCTACCACACATGAACTATATATAGACAGGCCCGAAGTTCTACATAAACATTATACTAATAAAACGTGATGAACAAAAGAAAACCCGTATTACTGTACTTGTTCTATCAGATTGAATCTAGGCCACTTCCTAACCCTTGTAAAAGTTGAACAAATAACCTGAGAAAGTTTAGCTTTCAAGCTGCTTTGCCCCAGTAAGTAAATGATAACAGAGATATAACCTAAACTGGTGAAAGCTACGCAGTGTGAAGTTTCTTAGATACTTTTTATTGACGGTCAATAGTGGACTTGTGCAGTCACTATTAAATTCTAGAAACATACATGAATTACGAATACAATCACAGTTATAAAAAAGTAGGTTTCGTATGTACCGACCTATTTTTTTTGGATATAAAAAGAGTTAAAATTGCTGTTTTATTATTATGTTAAAGACCTACTGTTATATCTGAAGTTATGTATTACTTAATTATATTTTGTGTCACAGGCCACAACAGTGTAATGACACATTAAACTGTCTCATAAAATATAGGAAATAAGGGCGTATCAGAGTCTCCTACAAATAACATATCTTATGACTTTAAGCCTATTAGCCCCGTCAGGTGGATAATGTTCCGGATATAACTCTTAATTATAGTATATACTAACATCTGTACTTCCGTTGATAAGGTGAGTAGTGGCATGTATTCAGACTTCCGCAGTGTACACATTATATATATGTGTGTGTGTGTGCTTTTGCTCGCGCGCATTTAAGTTTATTTATATATATCTTTAAAGTTTCACGTCAACAACCGCCACTAAGACAATATAACTGGCTTAATGTTATATATATACAAAACGAAAGGAATAAGTTTAAAAGATATTGTAATGTACAAGTTATTGTACACGAGAAATTGAAATGATAAACGTTGCCCGCTTGGTTTTAATATTTTATTGTTTGTTTTGCATTCGGCACAACTTCTTAGTGTGAATTATTACGATGATATATCGACATTCAGTCATGTAAAAAGTTAAATAAATGATACTTTGACCTTTTTTACATTCGGCACAACTTTTTAGCGTCAATTATTACGATGATATATCGACATTCAGTCATGTAAAGTTAAATAAATGATACTTTGACTTTTTTTACATTCGGCACAACTTTTTAGTGTGAATTATTACGATGATATCTCCACATTCAGTCATGTAAAAAGTTAAATAAATGATACTTTGACCTTTTTTACATTCGGCACAAGTTTTTAGTGTGAATTATTACGATGATATCTCCACATTCAGTCGTTTAAAAACTTCTTTTTATGGCGAAGCTACATTAGGCTATTTGCTGTGTCCACAGCGGGGAATCGAACTCCGGATTTTAGCGTTCTAAGTTTTTGTTTTTTGTTGGAATTATTATGATTTCTTAATGTTTAATAAATATGGTTCCTAACTACAATTATCTTTACATCTGGCATATCTTACTAGCAGAGTGAGTAATTTATCTTAGCCTATTACTTCACGATAATAGCAGTAATCGGATAGTGTTTTCAAGTTTAAAAAATCCTTTACCCTCGAGTGCATTAGTGTACGATATTTTTTAAAGCAACAGTAATCTTTGCTTTAATATTTTTTCCCCTGAAACTGCATTAATATTTTGTTGTTTGTTTTCAGACACTAACAGATATGTTTCTTACTGTATTTTGTTGATGGATTGTCCAGACATTAACAGCTATGTTCCTTACTATAATTTGCTGTTGTATTTTCCAGACACTAACAGATATGTTCCTTACTAAAATTTGTTGTTGTATTTTACAGACACTAACAGATATGTTCCTTACTATAACTTGTTGTTGTATTTTCCAGACACTAACAGATATGTTCCTTACTATAACTTGTTGTTGTATTTTCCAGACACTAACAGATACCTTCCTTACTATATAATTTATTGTTGTATTTTCCAGACACTAACAGATATGTTCCTTACTGTAACTTGTTGTTGTATTTTCCAGACACTAACAGATACGTTCCTTACTGTAACTTGTTGTTGTATTTTCCAGACACTAACAGATACGTTCCTTACTATATAATTTATTGTTGTGTTTTCCAGACACTAACAGATATGTTCCTTGCTATATTTTATTGTTGTATTTTCCAGACATTAACAGATATGTTCCTTACTATATTTTATTGTTGTATTTTCCAGACACTAACAGATACGTTCCTTGATATATTTTATTGTTGTATTTTCCAGACATTAACAGATACGTTCCTTACTATATTTTATTGTTTTATTTTCCAGACATTAACAGATATGTTCCTTACTATATTTTATTGTTGTATTTTCCACACACTAACTAACTTTTTGGAACTTGAGTAATATTTTATTAAACGTGTTTTTGAAAGATCAGATAACGTTTGTTGTTGTGGGACTTTGTGTTGTTGTTTTTTTTGGGGGGGTCATCATAAGCACCTTGTATTCTAACTCATCAAAAGCTTTAAAAATGGATGCTTTACTTGAGTATATCTGTGCGAGTGCTTAAAACTGAAGACCTAGTGCTTTCTCTTTACAAAAACCTGTGATCTGGATTTGAAATATATAACAAGTACATTGCGCCATATTGTGTGGCCTGACATGAACTGGTGTTTAAGGCACTCGACTCGCAATCTGCGGGTCACGGGCTCGAATCCTTTTATCGAACATACTCACTCGCCCTTTTAGTCTTGGGGGCGTTCTAACGTAACGATCAACCCAAATGTTCGTCGATAAAAAGTAGCCCAAGAATTGGCGGTGAGTGGCGTTGACTAGCTTCTTTCTATCAATTCAAAATAATTGATGTCTTCGAGGTATTTTTGCGTAAAATTCAAAACAACCACAAAAAAAAAAACAATTCGTCTAACATTTGATCGAAATTGCACACATACAGATCTAAATGATCAATCTTGTTCTAATGAGTT